AGTTCTGCGAAGAACCAATCGACTAAATGTCAAATATAATTCACTTCCGAGTGAAAAAGAAAAAATCACACGTTTCTAAGACTACAGCCGAATACAAGCATTCGACCGTAGTCTCGGGGACTACACCCAGTGGGTGCACTCAGCGTGCCCCCACTAATCATGTTGAAGATAAAGTCGACCAGTCGACCTCAAAAAAAAGAGATGTATTCTTTAAGACTGTAATCCACTGCAAGCAGTCGACCACAGTCTCAGGGACTACACCCAGTGGGTGCACTCAGCGTGCCCCCACCGGTTTGTGAAATCCAGTCGACATAGTCGACTGACAGAAAGATTGACATCATAAAGCCTAAGGCCGACTGCCAGCAGTCGACCTTAGCCTAGGGGACTACACCCAACGGGTGCACTCAGCGTGCCCCCGCTAACACGGAGTTTAATCGACACACCCACTGGGTGACTACTATAAATTCCGGAAAGGAAAAGTTTTTGGTAGCATATCCAACAGAACAAACGGTGGTCGACTGACCTAAACATTTCTTTGGAGGGCAGAACTGGCGTCATAAGCTGCCTGGCTCGCATCCCGGATAGTCTTCAATTGCTCCATCATGATTCCCGCCTGGCGTATCGCCTCCTTCGCCGCGCCAGCTTGGTCCTCTGGGACGTGGTGCGTCGTGAAGAGGGAGGGCTGCTGAGCACTCGTCAATGGATCTGCGAAGGACACCGTGTGTCGAGTGGTGTTCTCTTCCTCTGCAATCAGAATCTCAGGCGCCGTCACATCCTTGGGCACCTTGCTGGCGGATGCTTTTCTACTCCTTCTGCACTTCAGCGGTTCCTCATCCTCATCATCATCAGGGAGATTGATAATAGCATTGGGTGGAGCTACGGAGAAGAATCAGGATCAGAGATCGCAAGTCAGTCGACTAAAAACGGCGTTAAGAATATAGTACCTGGTTTTGAAGTTGCTACGTCCTCCATCTCATGGTCATCAGCCCGGGCTGAGGTCTCAGAAGTAGCAGCACTGCAACTCCAAAGAATCAGTCGACTAACTTCAACGTCAACCAGAGACAAAGTTCACACAAAATAAGAAGACTTAAGCAGCACGATTACCCTGATATGGTGGGGATGGACACCTTCATCTTCGGCAGGAGCTTGATCGGCTTCGACGAGGCCGCCCTGGGCTGCTTCGGCGCCTTTTCAGTCGGCACCGGAGAGGTGGTCCGAGGGCGCTTGGTCGACTGAGCAACGGTCGCAACCCCCTTGCCACGTTCAGTCGAGGGGTCGTGGACAAGCTTCGACCGCCTTTCTGAGCGCGGTGGTACGACCTCCTCCTCCTCTTCTTCCTCGTCTTCAACGTCATCTTCATCACCGTCATCATCATCATCGTCATCATCATCCTCAGCAACGTCCGAGTCCCATTCCTCCTCCTCCTGGCTCTCGCCCCCACTCGCCTCACCCTCCTCAGTCGGAGCTTGTGCCCCGTTGGGCATCGAGTACAGCTCGGTGAGGGCCTGGTAGATATCCAGACAAGGATCAATCGACCAGTCGGCAGGATAAACAGAAACGAATGTGACAAGGACACAGTGGAGAGCAGAGCAAACGTACCTTGTTTGGATCGCTGTTGTGGTCGAGTGGAGGAATCCTTCTGGCTCCGCGTGGGTTATCCTTGTTTCCGGTAACGGCTGCCATCCATCTTTCCAGAGTGACATCGTCGACTGCTTCTGGATGGACTCGAGTCTCATCTTCAGTCCCACAGTAGAGCCACATGCAGTGGCTCCGGAACTGAAGGGGCTGGATGCGACGCCTAAGGAAGACCTCCAGGAGATCCATGCCAGTCACTCCCTCCCGAACCAACTGCACCACGCGCTCCATCAACATCTTCACGTCAGCTTTCTCCTCCGGAATCAACTTCAGAGAGGAGGGCTTGTTCATTCGGTCCATGGTAAACTGAGGGAGTCCACTCGACTGCCCCGGCGTCGACTGGTCCTGGCAGTAGAACCAGGTCGACTGCCAGCCTCTGACTGACTCGGAAAGGTCATGGGCGGGAAGGTGCTCTTATTCCTCACCTGGATCCCCAGGCCCCCACACATTTGGACGACTCGGGTTCTTTCATCGCCTGGGCTCGCCTTCTTCACGGTCTGAGAGCGACACGTGAATATATGCTTGAACAAACCCCAGTGCGGTCGACAGCCCAGGAAACCCTCACACATGGACACGAACGCGGCAAGATAGGCGATAGAATTTGGGGTAAAGTGGTGGAGCTGCGCTCCAAAGAAGTTCAAGAAACCACGGAAGAAAATACTCGGCGGCAAAGAAAATCCACGATCAACATGGGTGGCTAAGAGCACACACTCACCCTCTTCTGGCTGGGGCTGCCACTCCTTCCCCGGAAGCCTCGCAGCTCCATGAGGGATCAAGCCCTCGTTGGCCATGTCGAGGAGATCTTTTTCTGTGATGGTCGACTGGATCCAGTCTCCTTGGACCCAGCCCTTCGGCAGGCGAGATCTGGACGAAGACCCGCCGCGGCTGGTAGATCTCCCCTTCGCCTTCTCCGACGCCGACGCCTTCTTCGCACGTTCCAGCGCCGCCGTCTTCTCCTTGGCCATGGTTGCCGGCGAGATGCGCGAGGGGAAGTTGTGCGGGGGCGAGAGCGAGCGCGCTGGACGGGGACGAAGGGAGCAGAGAGAGAGAGAATGCTGAGGCACAGTACAAAAATCCTCGCCGGGCGCATTTATAAGATCCCTTCCGAGTGGATGACAGGTGGGCCCGGTCGATCTAATCATATCCAGGAACAGTTATGCAGACGGGATACGTGGCGAAGAAAGCGGCGCGGAGATCGAGGCGTCTATGTCCCGTCCCATCCGAACGCCGCGGTCCGCTCCGCTTCGCACGCGTCCCCAAATTTTGCATCCCGCGGAATCCGCGAACAGCAGATCAGTCTGTCAGACGCGGGGTTTCCCGCGATCCGTCGCTCGGGGATCGTCGAAGCCCGAAAGATCACTCGACGAAAGAAGAGAATGGATCGAGTCGACTGAAGACAAGTTGCTCACTATCGACGAAGAGATTCTTTGGTCCAGAACAACGCACGACCAGTGTGCAAAGGTTAATCGGAAACAACATCAACTCCTTCCTCACTCGAAGCCTCAATCCATTCGGGGGCTAATGATGGGGTCATGTACCTAGGGTAGGGTCATGAACCTGATCTAAGTACCTTGCCCAAGGACACCCTTAGAAGAGGTCGCCTTCCAGTCGACCAACGAGGGACTCACTCGACTGACTTGAAGGACTCGACCATGAAGACTCACTCGACCACCAGGAGGTCAAGAGGCACTCTGCACTGCAACGGCCTGTAATTAAGTAGGCTTTATGATAGTAAAGACACTTTATGTGGGGCGTTACCAGTAACGCCCCAGACTTAACTCACCTTAAACCCTCTCCTACGTGGGCTGGCTGGGGTCCTGGCGCACTCTATATAAGCCACCCCCCTCCACAGGTAGAGGGGTTCAGCACCTTGTAACTCATATACTCATAATCCACTCGACCGCCTCCGGGCTCCGAGACGTAGGGCTATTACTTCTTCCGAGAAGGGCCTGAACTCGTACATCCCTGGTGTTTACAACCTCTCCATAGCTAGGACCTTGCCTCTCCATTCCTACCCCCCACTCTACTGTCAGGCTTAGAACCACGACACCAAGCACATCTCATTTATTTTTCCACACAATTTTTTCCTTATCTATTTTTTTGCTTATACTCTATATGTATACACATCATGGGCCCCCCTTCGGCCTGGGCCCTGGGCCGCCGCCCCTTTGCCCATGCCCCAGGGCCGGCCCTGAGAGAGAATTGGGAGATTGATTATATTATCATACGTACATGGTGCGCTGTCCAAGTATATTTGAACGCCACTTTGGCGCGCGTGGTGTTTTCATTTTTTTTTGAACCGGGCATGACCCCTTTTCATTGCAAATGAACGGAAATACAAAGTACCGAGAACAGCAGGAGGAAAGGGAAAGAGGTACAGCGAGTTTGAGCACTGCCAAGAAACCCACTGCGTTCGCTCGTCATCGTAATGAACACCATGGGGCAAAAACCTGACAGCACCATAGTTTTTTTTTGGGATGGACAGCACCATAGTTCATCCAACACTAAGAAGTCTATTACAAATTAAAACGCGTGGTGTTTTCATTTCCACATCTTTTCGTAGTTAATCGTTTTCCCAGCACGCACGCTAAGTAGTGGCCGGGTTGGAGTCGTCACGTCTCCCATCCATCCAACGTTCTCCTCAAAGTCTACCGGTGTAGGACTCGTCGCCGTCCAACATCGGAAAGTAATGGCGCCTCCAATGTTGTGGGTCGTTGGCCAACCCCCGTTCCACTCCACTACATTCTACTCTACGCTTCCATCAGAAAAATGCTGCACTACCGAGAAAACCAGTATTTCCACACACCTTTTGGCCTAGTTGCCCTCGCGCCTCCACACCGGCGGGCCTATAAAACCGCACCGGCTAGTCCATTGCCAACCACCACCGCACCTCCCTCTCAGCATTTCTCCTCTCAACCTGCCTCTCTCCTCGTACGTGCTACTTCTTGAGTTGGTAATTGATCGGTAGTCGTTCCTAGCTAAGCTAGCTAGCAATGGCCGCACGGGGAGGAGGCAGTGCCAACGTGGCCGTGCTCCTTGCCGTGCTTCTTCTCTGCACTCTCGTGGCGGAGGCGGCGGTGTTCAACGTCGGCGACCGCGGCGGCTGGTCCTTCAACACCAACTCCTGGCCCACCGGCAAGCGCTTCAAGGCCGGCGACGTCCTAGGTTCGTACCTATATACGTGCATGCATGGATTGATAGTTTTCTGCATGCACACCGATGAGAAGAAGTTTTGATGCATGTGAATCTGGCTGCTTGCAGTGTTCAAGTACGACGCGACGGCGCACGACGTGGTGGCGGTGAGCGCGGCGGGGTACAAGGCCTGCGCCAAGCCGGCAAACGGCGCCAAGGTGTACAAGTCCGGTGCCGACCGCGTCACCCTCGCCCGCGGCACAAACTACTTCATCTGCAGCATCCCCGGACACTGCCAGTCCGGCATGAAGATCGCCGTCACCGCCGCCTAGCATGTTCCATCGTCCATGGTGCACGTTAATTCGTACGCGCGACGTTACGTGATACGGCGAGCGCAACTTTTAATTCCTAATGACCAAAATAAAAGGCCGAGCGTACGTGCTTGGGTTTTTCAAGTTCTTGATCAATGTAGCACAGTATTGATTCGTACGGTGTGTGTACTGTTTGATTTCCACTCGACCAATCATACATTCATACTTTCTGTTGTATGGTGCCATATGTACTGATTTTGTACTCATATATGAGAATGAAAGGCATGCGACAATTATTCTTCTTGTTTTGCTATTTGTCAGTTGCCTGAGTTATAAGATGCATCACTCGATTTCGCCTGAGAGTTCAGTAACCTATTTGATTTTAGTTGCATTGCACGATAAGAACAAATGGGATCTAGCTCGATTTAGCTCACATATACAATAAATAAGCAGGTTATTGATAATGTAATGTGAGCTAAATCAAAGTAGCAGGTAACACTACTACTCTGTAGAGAAGATAAAGCAAAGAAGTTCTAACAATTTGCATTGTAACATATTAGTGCAAACCACTATGAATTTTACAAAGAAGACAAAACAGAGAAGTTGCAGAAGTATTCACTGTAACAAGTAAGTGGAACCAGTTAGCACTTTACAAAGAAGATAAAACAAAGATGTTGTGGCATGTTTTATATTAATAAGTTGAAGTAGTTAGCATTTTACTAAGAAGATGAAGCAGCATCACCGGCACTAATAGCCTTGTCGGCTGTGCCGCGCAATCCCCACACAGTCGGCCCACTATAAATGGAAGTTGTCGGCACCCGTACCCTAGCCCTAGCCGTCGAAGCAAAAAAAAAAAAAAGCCAAGCTAGATCCGTGGCTGCCTTAGCTATGGTCCGCCATTACCCTACCTACTACATGTAGCTGACCCCCACCCGCGGAGCCAAAATCACCGCAGCGGTATTTGCGGAGGTCGTCGTTGCCGCGGCCGCCGAGTCGAGCTCCTCTTCGGAGTCATCATCAGCAGAGGAGGAGGAGGGGGTAGAAGAGGAAGAGGAGATGGAGGTGGAGGAGGAGGGGAGGGAGGTCGAGGTGGAGGGCGGCGACAACTTTTAGATGACGGTGGAACTAGCGGAGCACGTCGCCACCGAGGGCCAAATCGCTACAGAATTGGTGGACACCGCGGTCATCACCGCCATCCTCATGGACTCCGAGGTAGTGGCGAATGACTGCGGCATAGTCGTCTATGGCCGACGAGCGTGAAGTAGCCACCAACCATCTCCTTTTGGCCAACGTGAGATGGAGAAGATGCTCCATGACCTCGATGACACCAACGACAATGGCGGCAGCGACGACGGCGAAGATCACCTATCGGTATCCACGATCACGAGGCCTCTTGCTCCAGTGTCATTGACATCTCCTTTGACAACGGTAGTACAGTAGTTTATCTAGCCAGCCTTGTACAAATTCTAATAGTTGTAGTATCAATGAAGCAGTGGATGTAGCACTAACGAATGCCATCTACTTATTGTATAATGAAGCACCGCAATCTATCTATGTTGAAATTTCCCTGTGGGTGACTTCTAGGAGATGTGAAGTTTTGAAGCACTAACCTACTCCTTGAGATCATAATGGTGGTGGCCGAGCCACGGCAACCGTAGCACAGCAGCAGGGGCGGAGCTGGGCCCCGGGAAAAATTACTAGGCTATAGTTTTATAGATTTCTTTTACAGGCCCAGGGCGCAGCCCACTGAAATAGAAGAAGGCCCAAAGCCTTAATGAACTACTTTGCCAGAAACGCACGCACCTACGGCAACAGCGCACGCCACGATCCAGCACGCACTACGCACAGGAGCCGAAACGATCGCGCGGCCGCCGCCCGCCCGCCGAGTCACACGCACGCACGCGGACAGACACGATCAATCTCCAGCAGCAGCAGGGACTCCAGCGCTCGCGCCGCCGTCCGCCGTGGCTCCGCCCCCGGCCCACCCACCTTCTGCTCCCGGGCTGTAGATCGCCCGTCGCCGCCGCCCTCCTGTTCGTTGTTCGCCTGCGTGGGGCTGCTTCATTGCCGGCTGTGCGGCAGCTTGTAATTTTCTTTGATGCTTTCCTTGTTTCCCTCTTAGATGCTTTCTACTAGTTTCTACTTGTACCGTGTTATATTTGTATGAGTTGTATCAATGTACAAGCTGCTCTGAACTGAAATTTATACCATGTTCTTTTGTATCCGGCCATATATCTATGATATTGTTGAACCCAAATTGATGTAATTGCCAATTTTATTTCATATATTGTAGAAAAAGAAGATGAAGAGATTTTTTTCACTGGTGTCTGCAACGGGGCTGTCTATACCTATTATTTCAGATGAAGGGAATCAAGCGGCCGAGGGAACTGAATCAACACCATAAACAGGAACAACTGATGTTTATGCCTCGTCGAAGTGGTAAGTTTTTAAATATGTATCAACGGTAATTGTTTCACATGATGTTTATGCCTTCTCTTATGATATTTTGCTTTCGATGCCTTGAAGGTGTTTGACTCTTCTTCCACCGCTGATGAGGTTATGCGAGGCACTGATGAAGCAAACCATTGATTTGGTACTCTTTTATCATGTACTATTCTTAGAAGTTTTTATCATGTTTTTATCTATTTTGTTGTATTGTTAAGTATTGAGTTTAAATTATAAAATTTTCATGCACCGAACCATATTTTGTATGGGGTATCTTTTGAGGTAGCTAAAAGCCTTATGGACGTTAAGATTTTTCCTTGCGATGTTTTTTTTGGCCCGGGGCTTGGTTCAATCCTGGCTCCGCCACTGCACAGCAGCGAGCATGCGCAACACGACAACTGCTCAAGGGTTGGCGTCGCAAGAGATCTATGATCTGGGGATGACCTAGGATGAACTAGGGAAATAGATATAAGTGACGTGATCGACCATGTAGGTGGTTATAGCTACAAAGCCGCCTTTGATACTTAGGAATTGGAGGAGGTTAAGCATTCGAAACCGCCTTCATGGCGGTTTTGGATTTCCAACCGCCTTTGCTGCAATATTAGAGGTGGCTTTGTCCTGCTTGGTCATAATCTCTTTCGAGGGGGGGGGTCTTATGCTCGTTTTTTTACTAGTGTGAGTTATACCTGGCCATCTGTGGGGCTGGGCCGGCCTTCGGGTCTGGCCTACCAAAGCCTGATGCAAAAAACCCAAGCCCGAGCCTAGCCCGGCATGTCCGTCGGTCCTAAAAATCGGCCCCGAGCCCGGCCCATCAGGCTAAAAGCCCACTGGGCGTCGATCCTCAGGCCGGGCCTCTTCCTTAAACAACGAATACGATGGGCCCAGGCCCAGCCCGAACCGGCCATCGGGCTCGAAATCTAGGCCCAAGCCCAGCCTGTGGGCAAGGTCGGGTCGGGCTTTTTCAGGTCGGGTCGGGTCGGGCTGTCCGGGCCGGGCTGCCCATGGCCAAGACTAGTGTGGGTACTCCAAACTTTGAAGGTTTTAATACAAGCTAGGTAATAAAAGCCCATCGATCTTTAGTAGAGCAAGACCTCGAGCTCAATGAAATCCTTGTGAACGAGGAGTTATATACTCTGCAACAATCCCATGAGAAGTGGTTGTTGCAAGGAGATCAGAATACTTCCTATTTTCCGAAAATTGCCAATGGTAAAAACACTCGTTGAATGTGGAGGATACTGTGATTGAAGGCACCGAGAATTTGTTGTCCTGCTCAAGGCAACTTGTTCCATTTAGATGTTGGCACTTGTGGGGATGGGGTGGGGGTGAGAAACTAATGATATTGACAATAAGGAAATGTTTCTCGGTTATGGAGGTGATAAAGAGTTCGACGTAAAGAGTTACGTCGATGCAAGTTTAACACCTATCCGGATAGCTCTGAGTAGAGATACCGGATACGTATAATGGAGCAACAATTTGGAATAGCTCCAAGTGGAACGTGGTAGCAACATCTACGATATGACATAAAGTTTTGCGAAATACATAGGGATCTGAATATTGCAGACCCGTTGACTATAACCTCTTTCACAAGCATAACATGATCAAACCCAGAACTCATTGAGTGTTAATCACATAGTGATGTGAACTAGATTATTGAGTCTAATAAACTCTTTGGATGTTGGTCACATGGTGATGTGACCTGTGAGTGTTAATCACATGGCGATGTGAACTAGATTATTGACTCTAGTGCAAGTGGGAGACTGTTGGAAATATGACCTAGAGGCAATAACAAATTGGTTATTATTATATTTCCTTGTTCATGATAATCGGTTATTATCCTACTAGAATTGTATTGATAGGAAACTCAGATACATGTGTGGATACATAGACAACACCATGTCCCTAGTAAGCGTTTAGTTGACTAGCTCGTTGATCAATAGATGGTTACGGTTTCCTGACCATGGACATTGGATGTCGTTGATAACGGGATCACATCATTAGGAGAATGATGTGATGGACAAGACCCAATCCTAAGCCTAGCACAAGATCATGTAGTTCGTATGCTAAAGCTTTTTTAATTTCAAGTACCATTTCCTAAGACCATGAGATTGTGCAACTCCCGCATACCGTAGGAGTGCTTTGGGTGTGCCAAACGTCACAACATAACTGGGTGGCTATAAAGGTGCACTACGGGTATCTCCAAAAGTGTCTGTTGGGTTGGCACGAATCGAGACTGGGATTTGTCACTCCGTGTAAAGGAGACGTATCTCTGGGCCCACTCGGTAGGACATCATCATAATGTGCACAATGTGACCAAGGAGTTGATCACGGGATGATGTGTTACGGGACGAATAAAGAGACTTGCCGGTAACGAGATTGAACAAGGTATCGGGATACCGACGATCGAATCTCGGGCAAGTATCGTACCGATAGACAAAGGGAATTGTATACGGGATTAATTGAATCCTTGACATCATGGTTCATCTGATGAGATCATCGTGGAGCATGCGGGAACCAACATGGGTATCCAGATCCCGCTGTTGGTCATTGACCGGAGAGTTGTCTCGGCCATGTCTGTGTTGGAAATATGCCCTAGAGGCAATAATAAAAGCATTATTATTATATTTCCTT